GAGTGCAGAGCTTCCATGCCCCCCAGGCCTGCCACTCTGCCAGCACCTCCCCTTGTTCACCAACCCAGAAGCTCTCTGAACCCTGTCCTTTTGGGTTTTTATGGAGGCTTCATTACATAGGCATTATCGATTAAGTCATTGGCTGTTGGCGACTGAACTCAATTTCCAGCCCCTCTACCTCTCCCAGAGGTTGAGGGGTGGGACTGAAAGTGCCAACTCTCTAATCTTGTGGTTAATCCTCTGGAAACCAACCCCCATCCTTAGTCGCCTCATTAATATAAGCCACCTCAGTAACATAAAAGACATCTTTATCACTCTCAGCTTTCAGGAAATTCCAAGGATCTTAGGAGCTCTGTGCCAGAAACAAGGACAAAGACCAAATACGTATTTCTTAAAAATCACGTCACAGATAGCCACTGCCTCACAAAGAGTCTTAAAAAGACACAGCAGGTCACCCAGCAGCGTTATTTACTTGGCGTAGGAGTTGAAAAGACTGAAGAAATCATCTTGTTTAAATGCTCTAATTTGTAAAGGAGAATACTTGGTTTTATTTCCTGGGAAAACAACGGACAACATAAAATATATTACAGTTATAGCACATTAAAACGTAGTCTTAGTGGCACCTTTGGCTTCTCTCTCTTGTCCCACATGTCCATAGTCACCAGTTCTGCCTCCCCTTTTTCATAGTTAGAATTTTCATAGCTCTCTCACCAGAATGATGAAAATACCCACTAAAAACTCTCTCTGTTCCAACTTCTTCCTCCTTCCACTGCAAATTACCTTTTGAAAAAAATCAGCTTTGATCTCATCTGTCCTCTGACGATACGTCTTCAGTGACCCCCTGATGCCCAGAGCAGTGCTTCTCAAACTTGATCTTGTGTCAGAGTCAGTTGGAGGGCATGATAAAATGCAGATTGCTGAAACTCATCCCAGAATTTCTGACCCAGTATGTGTGAAGTTGGGTCCAAGAATTTGAATTTCTAAGTTCCCATGTGCTGCTGCTGCTGCTGGTAGTCTGTGGACCCATTTTGTGGACCACTGGCCTAGAAAATAAAATTCCACAGCATGGCATCAGGAGTTTCTCATTCTGCTTGCTCACCCCATGTCCTTTCCTCCCCACCAAGCCCCTATGAGCTATTCACACCAGACTGCCAGCTTTTCTATACTTTTATTCTTCTGGCCTTCGCTCTGTGTGTTCTCTCTCTGGAATGCCTCTCCACCTCTTCGAAACCTCCTGCTATAGGAACTTTCCTCCACTCTTGTCACCGAATTATGAATCACTTCTTTCCCTGTGTTCCTGATAATTTGTATATGTCTCTATCAATGCAGATGTGATATCAAAATCCACTTATTCAGCTTTTTGCCTTGGGGTGGTGCTGGGCACTGGCCTCTATGAACTGCAGCAACCCCATTCCTGTGTCCTCTGTTTACTGGCTGGGTTCAGCAATGGGAGTTACCAGCAAGAGATTAGAGGGTAGGAGGCAGGGCTGTTCCCCCAAATCAGCCATGGTTCCCGTGGAATTGGCTCTCTCCCGTAGTTATGGCCCTGACTAGGCTCAGTGTATGCCCTGCCCTTCAGCCTAGATGATAAGGGGAAAGTGGGGCTGCTTCACCATTTCTTACTGATTTCTCTTTACCCTGAGCCCACACCTAAGTAATTCCTCTATTAAACTGTCTTCAATGACCCGTTTTGAGTGTATCATCTATATTCTGCCAGGACCTTTCATGATACACCAGGTAAATGTGTACTAGTCTTTTTTTTTTGTTTCCCTCTTCTTATTTCCATCCTTACCCCAGAGAGAAGGCATCTGTGTTCAATTCAGCTTTGTAATCTTAACACAACGCCAGGCATATCAAGGGCCTTCAATACATATTGGCTGAATTAAATTAAATGTCTTGTCAGACTAGACCTGATTCCAGCCGTGTCTTAGTGTGCATAAAAGGACCCAGCATATTTTTCTGAAGATGAGTAAAAAAAGAGGGTAGGTAGGAATGGGATGCCCAGGAGACAGGGGAGCTAATACTGATTTTTAAAATATATGCCAAGCACTCTACAAATTTCATCTCATTTAATCCTCACAACAATACTGTGAAGCAGTTATGGCTATGCCTATTGTAGATACCATCGATGGACGTTACTCTATGAACTCTAGAGCCCAGGACTTTGGCCCAGAATTTGACTGACAGTAACACCTGCCCCAAAAGGATTTCAGAAATCCTAGGCAGTTCTTGTTTGCTACTTCAAGACTGTAACCTACAGCAAAATCAGTTTTCACAGAAATGAAAGCGAAAGGTCTAGGCACAAGCCTGTTGGGTGGGGCGGGCTGGCAGTGCGAGCAGACCAGTCAGAGTTGAGGATGGCAGCGAGTAGCCCCCCGCTGCTGGTCTGAGAGGCCTGGGGCTCTGGAGCCCTGACCTCCCCTGAAGAACTGGAACACAAGTTGCAGGTGTTCTTCCAGAGCCTGAAGAGGTCCGGCGACCGGGAGCGTGAGGTTGACCAGGAGCCGGGCAGCCCGCCCCGCTTCCTGCCGCTCATCTGCCGGGAGGATGGTGAGGGGCGCTAGGGGTAGGGGATAGGAGGGGCGCCAAGGCTGACTCTCCAGGCGCAGGCGCGATTCTCTGCAACACAGGTCTCTCTCTGCGCAGAGACCCCCAAGTGCTTCAGAACCTTCCCCTCTAGGGAGGCGCTCACCACTCTGACTTGTCACGGAAGAGAGTAGAGTGCGGGGCGTCTTTTTCCACAGAATGTTTGGGAATTTCCCACTCAATTTTTAAAAGTTTCTTATAAATTAGAAATATTGGTCTTTTATCTGTGATATAGGTTATTTATATTTCCCTTCAATTCGTCGTTTGTCTTTTGAGTGTGCTTATGGTGGCTTCCCCCCCCCCCCGCCCCCAATCCAAACGTTTTTTACTTTTATGTAGTAAAATTTACTAATTTTTGTTTCATTGCATCTGGACTTTAGTCATGTTTTAAAAGCTTTTCCCAACATTCAGGTAATCGTTGCCTAGCCTTTTTTTCTATATGTAATGCTTTACTTTTTATATTTAGAACTCTGATACATTTGGAGTTTATTCTTGTGTAGGGTATGAGGAATGAATCTAATTTTATTTTATTTTTCCAAATGGTATCCGGTTGTCTCGACATCCGATTATGTGAATCCATTTAAATCACTATCTGTAGATCTTCTATTTTGTTTCATTAGTTGAAAAATTTTCGCCTTAATACAAATTAGCTAAATAAATATGAAACTTTTGTTCTACTACTTGTGGAGTAAAGTGAACATTTGTAACCAATCAGGAGTTAATATTATTGTGTTTGGGTGTTCATTATGAGGTATTAATTGATATCTAATTGTCTTCATAATGAAAACCAATGTTTCCAACAATATTTATTAAATTATGATTCATGTCTTCACTTTTTTATTCCTCTTAATACTTTATATGTTAAACTTTATGATAGATTAAGGCTTATTTCTGGAATTTCTTTTCTACTTCTTGTCCTATTATCTATTCTTAATTTAGAACTATTAGTTTTGTGATTATTACTTAAAGATGTATTTTTAAAATACGACTTTATTTTTTAGAGCAGTTTTAAATATCTAGCAAAATTGAGTGGAAATTACAGAGAGTTCCCATATACCACCTTTATGTTTTAGAGCAGTTTTCAGTTTATAGCAAAATTGGCCCCCTTTCAAGGGTTAAAAACAATGAAAAATGGACGTAAGTCTGTATTCTTTCTATGATGTCTATCAATGTCTACCCATACCCAATCTTCTTGGTAAATAGGCGGCATTTTTGTGTTTTGGTTATTTCTATAGATTGCCCTTTCATTGTGCAGTAACAGAAACATCTTTCTTTTCAGTAACAAGTTGTAGCTTTATTAATTGATGTCAGTGGATGAGCACCATCATTTACTGTCATGTGTGTTAGTTTTATTTTCCTGTGATTTGGTGAGTAACTCCGATTTCACAATCATTTAGCCAAAGAGTTACTATTTTTTAAAATAAGGCAGTGAGGGAAATCTGTTTTCTTCCAAAGTATTTAAAACATCAGAAAATAATATAAAGATCAAAGCCTTTCAAATCTCAAATCAGATATGAAAACTAATATCTTAAGTGTTCTGTCTCCCTAAAAAATTGCTAAATTGGAAGACTTCAGGACAAAAGTAATACTTTTCAGAAGAGTGAATAAAGTGGATGAAATAGAAGTGGATGAAATAGATGACTTTTCAAAAGATCCTTCGAAAGCCTCCGTGTTGGTTGCATTTTATAATATCCAAGACACCATGACAGAGAATAGGCTTTTGGAATCGATCAGTGGCCTGTCAGAAGCCAATGTGGACTTCAGGGTGGAAGTAATATCCAGTACTAAAGTTGCTGTCATCGCTTTTCTCAGAAATACTGGTAAGACAGACAATAGCTTTTAACTGTTTATTTGCAAGTTGTGATTGTATCCTCTTTGAGAGTCCAAGCATCCCACATGGGTCTTCTTTAAGAGTTGTGTTATGTGTTATTTCTAACTTCCAGTGAGAGAATTGCGAGGAAATATGTATTATTACTTCTAGTACTACTAATAGGTAACATTTATCAAGTTCTTGCTCTATGCAAGGCACTATGCCAAGTTCTTACTTTACCTCATAACATATAGCACTAGGAGATAGGTGCTATTATTGTCTGCATTTTACGGGTGAAGAAATCTGGGCTTAGAGGGAATTAAATGACTTGATCGCAGTCACACGGCTAATAAGTATTTGAGTCAGAATTTCAAATTAGACATTCTGACTTCTGAGTATATTTTCTTAATCATTGTGCATGCGTCTTCAAATTTCCGGTGAGTTTTAATAGTCATAGGACTTTATTTTTATGATAATTACATGTGCAAATAGAGACCAAGATATAGTGAAGTTAGCAGGGGGATGGAGAGGGATTAGATTTAGGAAACAATATTGTATTACAATCATTATTGCTATTATCAGCTTACAACATGGCTGCACATACTCAATTTCATTTGAAGAGGTAACCGTTGATCCACGTTCCCAAAATAATCTCAAATGGAGGTCACTGATAATGGCAATGTAGGATAGGTGGAAGTTGACATCTGCATTCAGAGTAGTAAAATTTAACTTGTCACCTAGTCATTAATGCTACTGTTGATATTTGGAGAGACTTTTTAAAAAACAGTTTGTTGTTATACTCTGGTAAATGGTTAATGTTTAAGCACATTGAGTGTTTCTGGAGATGACATGTGCAAATTAGGTTGGCTAAGAGCCTCAGTCTGCACTCCAGCCATTAGTGAAGTGAAAAAAAAAAAAACAAAAACAATTTAGGAGGCAGAATGTTATAGAGTGCAATACAGAGAACATTTTATAAATTCTTTTTTTAATCACAGTGCACCATAAAAAATATATATTTTTTATCCTAACCCATACTTTGTATGAAAACAAAAACACACGTTGCAATTTGAAAACAAAGTTTTGTTGCAACATATGCATTTCTTGCTAAGGAACTGATGCACTGTTTTCTATTCTATTTATATATATGCATACACACACACACAAATAACAAATTTTTGTTAGGACTTTTAAAATTCATATCACTGACATAGTGATTAGAGGTTGGCTTTCAGCAATGACTTTGACACAAAGGGTTAGGGGGTAGGGATTGCAACTTTATTCCCCACTATCTCTGCCAGCCTGCCTCTTCAAGCCATTCTAAATAAGCATATAATCTGTATTAGCTTTCTATTGTTGCATACCAAATTACCCCAAAACTTAATAGCTTTACATAACAAACATTTATTATCTCATACTTTCTGTGGGTCAGGAATTTTGGAGCAGCTTAACTGGGTGATTCTGGCTCAGGGTCTCTCATGAGGTTGCTATCAACATGTTAGCTGGGCTACAGTCATCTGAAGGCTTGATGGGGGAAGAGTCTGCTTCTAAGCTCACTCACATGGCTGCTGCCAGAGATGTCGTTTGCTTGCCATGAGAGCTTCTCTGTAGGACTGTTCATGACATGGCAGCTGGCTTTCCCCAGAGTGAGTTATCTGAGGAAGAGAGGGAATGGGGTGGGAGTGAGGGCTGCAGTACTTTCGTAACCCTAGCCTCGGAAGTTGCATAACCTCACTTCTGCCATATACTAGTGGTTATACAAACCAATCTTGATACAATATGGAAGAAGACTATACAAAGTCGTGATTACCAAGAGGTAGGGATCACTGGGCACCTTTTTACTTACACAGTCCAAGAAAATATAGCTTCAAGACAAACTCCCTTCATCACCCCCTACTTCTAGCCAGATTGTCACACCTAAGACTTCTATATAGAAATTCGAGAGCACCACTGGCCTTTAGAGTCCCAAAAGTAAATATTTAAATTCTTATAGAATTTACTAGCTGGATAGCAATGACAAAGTTACTTTCTGATCCTCTGTTTCTTCATTTAAAAAGTGGAGATAAAAATCTATCTCACAGGGTCATTGTGAAAGTTAAATTAAATAGGATAATATTTGTAAAATATTTGTGAAACATTTGACACATAACAGATATTCAATAAATAAAGCTATTACAATTATCAAATTAGAAAAAATTGGAAAGCACAGTTATTAACTTGATCAGAATAGATATGAATGGTGTTTTAGACAGCTATATGTCTCAGCTGATACAAGGATAAGAGCCATTATTAAATGATGTTTAAATAGTTCAGTGTCCTTCATTCTGATATTGTTATCACCTCTGACATAAGAATACTGTAATAAGCTATTTCTACTGGGTAAAATGTATTTGAAAATAGGCTAGCAAATTCAGTTAAGAATAAATGTTCTTCTCCTTAGGACAGTTCTAATTATTTTTTGAAAAATAGCATTATACTAAGCCCAAATATATTTTAGTGCAGTTCTACCTATCAATTCTTGTTCTTCCTTTTAGAATTGTAGAAATAACTCCTTTATAACAGGGGTCCCCAACCCCTGTGTCTGCGGACTGGTACTTGTCCGTGGCTTGTTAGGAACCTGGCCACACAGCAGGAAGTGAGTGAGCTGTGGGCAAGCAAGCAAAGCATCAACTGTATTTGCAGCTGCTCCACAGAGCTAGCATCACCTCATTAGCTCCACCTCATGTCATCAGGCATTAGATTCTCGTAGGAACACTGGTCCCCGGTGCTGAAAAGGTTGGAGACCACTGCTTTATAAGACAGCCCTTCAACTGTTTTAAGAACAACTATCATATCTTGCTTTCTGCATCCCACCTCACCCATTATCTTTATATCTTTCTGCATCCCACCTCACCCATTATCTTTATATCTTTATAAGTATATTAAGATTAATATACTTATTTCCTTTTATATATTCTCATGTAATGTGGTGTAGAGTCCTTTTACAGCATTGGTTTCCCTCTTCTGAACATAGTAAGTAATCCCTTTGCAAAGTTTGGCACCTTGAACTAAGCACAATACTCTAGTGGTTGCCTGTTTTCACCAATGAAAAGTAGAATAGGGTTTTCATCATGCACATTCTTGTTGCTATGTTGCTCTTATAGCCCCAAATCTCATCATTATATTTTTTCTAATGAATGGATTTTATTTTTAGAGCACTTTTATGTTTACAGAAAAATTGAGCAGAAAGTAAAGAGAATTCCCCCTCTTTCTGCATCCCACCTCACCCATTATCTTTATATCTTTATAAGTATATTAAGATTAATATACTTATTTCCTTTTATATATTCTCATGTAATGTGGTGTAGAGTCCTTTTACAGCATTGGTTTCCCTCTTCTGAACATAGTAAGTAATCCCTTTGCAAAGTTTGGCACCTTGAACTAAGCACAATACTCTAGTGGTTGCCTGTTTTCACCAATGAAAAGTAGAATAGGGTTTTCATCATGCACATTCTTGTTGCTATGTTGCTCTTATAGCCCCAAATCTCATCATTATATTTTTTCTAATGAATGGATTTTATTTTTAGAGCACTTTTATGTTTACAGAAAAATTGAGCAGAAAGTAAAGAGAATTCCCCCTTACCCCAGTTTTCTCTAATATTAACGTTTTGCATTATTATAGTATATTCGTTACAACTGATGATAAGTATTGATACATTATTATTAACTAAAGTCCATTACATTGGAGTTCATTTTTTGTGTCATATGGTTCTATATGTTAAGCCAAATGTGTAATGTTCTGTGTCTATAATTACAGTTTCATGCAGAATAATTTCAGTGCCTAAAAATACTCTGTGTTCCACCTATTCATTGCTCCCTCCCTCCTCCAGGCCCTTGGCAGCCACTGATATTTGTACTGTCTCCATAGATTTGCCTTTTTTCAGAATGTCATATAGTTAGAGTCATGCAAAATGTAGCTTTTCAGACTGGCTCCTTCACTTAGCAATAGGCATTCAAATTTCCTCCCTGCCTTTTCGTAGCTTCATAGCTCATTTCTTTTTTATCTCTGAATAATATTCTATTTTTTGGAAGTACTACAATTATTTATCCATTTGCTTATTAAAGGACATCTTGCTTGCTGCCAAATTTTGGTTATTATGAATAAAGCTATATTGCTGCTATAAACATTCATGTGCAGGTTTTCTGTAAATGTTAAGTTTTCAGCTCACTTGGGTAAATATCAAGGAAAGCAAATGCTGGATCATATGGTAAGAGTATATTTAGTTTTGTAAGAATATACTTAGTTTTTTCTCTCAAGGTGGCTGTACCATTTCGCATTCCCCGAGCAATGAATGAGAGTTCTTGTTGCTCCACATCCTTGCCAACATTTAGTGACCGTTTTCCCCCCTCAAACACAGCTACATCACTTTTGCTTTATACTGAGTTTACTGTCAACCAAAATCTCTTAGATGTTTTCACATGATTTCACCACTAAATCACATTCTCTTTCTCTCAAACTTATGCAGTTATTCTTTGGACTTTCGTAAGTGCTCTTCCTTTCCTTTGGTGTCTCTCCCAGATGCCCTGGGGTCTCTTTTATTTATTAGGTGCACTTATAATGCTACTGCTGTATGTCTTACTGTGAAGGACTCACAACCTTCTCTAGAGGATTATCTTTGGGAGACTGAATGTCTGGAAACTGGAGGTGCCTGGGAGTTTACATTCATCTCCAAACTAGGATGGCCCATAGACAAAAACTGACTGGTATAGAGATACAAGATCCCAGCTCCCTTATCTCAAAGTTAGGACAATACTGTGATGCAATTTATATATTCCAGAGCTCCTTGCAGGATCAGGCAGAAGCTAGACTTAAGCTAAACCACATTCTCTACCTTCATCTCTCACTTTCTACATGTTTCTCCTGAGAGCACAACTTTAATAAATCATAGCACCTGAATCCCTCTCCCAGGCTCTGCTTCTAGAGAATCTGACCTAATTTTATGACCTCTTTTGATTATAGCACATGGTTGGTTTTTAATAATTTTGACTATATAACTATTCCTTTAAAAATGGTGTTGGCAAAAAAAATAAATAAATAAAATGGTGCCGGCTTTACTTCTAATAGTTTATTTTGAATTGCTCGTGCATTATTGTTTGTATCTATTGTATCTCTAAGGGCCAGATTTTTTCAGAAAAAAAAAATCACCTCTCCAATATTATAATGAAAGTCAACGGAAAAATCAGATTAAATTTACAAAACTTCACTGCAAAGTAAACATGAATGGAATAGACCTGTTCATTAGGTGAGGATTAGCTCCAGTGCGATCATGAAGGGCACATCTTTCATTGAGCTGCTTGACAGTGGTACCGTTTTAGGTAGACACACCGTATTTCAGTCTCATTAATATCAAGATTTTTTCTGTGCCAAAGATTTATCCGAATGATATCTACATTTTATATTTTATTTTTTGTTTTTTAGTGATGGACACCTACTTGACCAAAAAGCTTTGTCTTCAATAAAAGGCCCATCTCTGTGTTTCCCTATTATGTGTCTTTGGACATCGTCTTGTATAGAAGGGAGAAGCCTGAGAAAGTTGATAGCATCATTCCTGGTGGTGTTGAATCGTCTCATACGGAAGAATCTTGCAGAGAAAGCATTAGCCAATTGGAATGCTAAATTATAAAAGGAGAAGGGCCACTTTAAGATAATATGGCCCCAAGTCAGCTGTAAGGGGCTGGAAGGTAACAGTCAAGTCTGCGGCTACCTAACTCACTCAAGGAAAAACAAAGGTCAATGTCATCAAGACCCGGAGAGAAGATGTTTCTAAAAAATTCTCATATAGTGTCTAAATATTAAGTCACCAAGTTGAATGTGAAGCTAGCAGTATGGGAGGACATAAAAAACATCTTAGAGGATGATAGGATTTTGAATCAATATGTTCAAGAAGCTGGTTTTAATAATAGGTCATTTATGGGTCGTAAAAAATTTATAACACTGTTAAAGACACCAACCTAACATTGAAAAGGAAAAACAAAATTTGACAGAGAATATATCTGGTTCTTTTGGAAGGTTTTCTAGTCTTCACATCAGTGCTTTGAAAGAGTCTATACCCAAGGAATTTTCAGAGAAAGAGGTCATTGAAAATGCTTTCACCACACATACCAGACCACATGCAGGAGAGTACAAAGTGAAGAATGAAATTCCTGAGCAAGTGAAAAAAATTGATCAAGAAGCCCATTCCTAGACCCTCTGGAGTTTTCTGTTTGTTACGGAAAGTAGAGTGAAAAATTCTCTAAGACTAGTTAAACCAAAGAAAATTCATATCCTTTTTGGTTAGATAGGACATGGAAAATACATTTCACTTCATGGGTTATCATTGATCAAATGATAGTTGTTGCCTTGAGCTCTGTGTTGAGAAAGATTCTGAGACTGTATCTGAGTAGATTGAAAGAGTGCTGATATCAGTGAATAATGTCTGTCACAGGTGTGGGGGGTGATGTGCCATGTTTTTACCATTTTTAAGTGTGTGAATACCATCAGGTAGATGGGTTCCTCTTCTGTGCAGATCAGATTTCAGTATTGTGTCTTTCATGAGCTAGTAGTTTGACTTTAAGCAAATGGCTTCATGTCTTTGCACACTAGTTTCTTTTTTAGGAGAAATAAATTTCTGTGCTGGATGATGCGAAATGATGCCTTAAATTCTAAAATTCCATGACTGATTACTAGTCAAACAGCAAATGCATTATTGTGGAGAATTCAGGGGTGCGTCTTAGTGTGGATTCCCCCGGAAGAGGACCTGAGACAGATTCAAGTGCAAGTGATCTAAATAGGGAAGTAAAAGACACTGGTAGGGGTGTGTTACCAAATCAGTTACCACTTAATCCCACTGGGGAAACTCAGAGTGCATCTGGGAGGTGAGTTTGCTGGGGTGGTTTACACCAGCTCCTGTCAATCATTGGATGAAGGCTTGGAGGGGAGGGAGGGTGGCTTAATTTACCTGCACTTCCTCTCTGCTACACTGACAAGCAAAGCAACCTTTGGCACTACGTACAGAAAGTCTTCAGGCAAGAAATAGAGTTGGAAATATTACCAGGTTGCCCTTAAATAATAAAAGCCAGGGGATATGGACAGGGTCTGCTAAGCTAAGATTCTTGGAGGGATAAGTAAAAGAGCTCATTGGCATTTGGGTTATTAAATATAATCGATACTCAAACATTGTGAAAATAAATTATTTGCTTTTGAATGTTAGAGTTGGTTATAAGTTGAGTTAAAGAGATCTGTGAAATCTAATAGTTATTTTCTGTTTAAATATCTATGAAGAAAGTCTTCAGATAGCATTGCCTGGTAATATTTTTTACTGTTTTCTTCACAGTCAGGAGACCAAGTCAGCTGGAAAGATGGTCTTTCAAACAGAAATGTTCTAGCCTCAACTCAAACCAAAGAAGGTCTGAACCTCATGTTGATAAGTGGAGATGTTTTATATTTCTGTGTAAGTGGTACAATTTAGTAAAACTGCAGAGAAACAATGGGGTCTAATTAACTGGTTCTGTGATTTCATATCAGTGATTAAAATCATATAAATTTGAGACGTTAAACCTACCTGAGGTTCATGCAGGGCTATACTTACCATCTGCTACATTCTTCCACGTGTACTCACGTGGAGAGATCCAAGTTTAACCACAAACAAGGTTGTACAAATCCACCTCTTTTATTTCTCTATAATTTATCTTGACCTACTCTCAACCCAGTTTTGCTTTCCTGTCCTGTTCCATCAGCATTATGGAAGACATATATATATCACATTATAATATCACCCTTTACAAATACACCCTTTTGCTCCTGCCTGAGCACTTTCTGGGACACAGGCAGAATGAGGAGGAAGAAAGGTTATCAGTGCAGGTGCTAAACGCTTAGCTTGGCTCTGGCCTGCCCCTTTCCTTCTATTGCTTACTTTTCCTTGGAATCACCAGAGGGCTGGAGATGCAGGCCCTTTATTCTGTCTGTAATTGACATCCATGAAACTCGATCCTGGCTGCACATCAGAATCATCTGGGAAACTTTAAAAAATATCGATGCCCAGGCCCCACCACTAGAGATCCTGATTTTATTTGGTCAGGTATGTGGTCTAGGTGTCAGTAGTTTCTGAAAGCATTCCAGGTGATTCTGATACACAGGTAGGACTGAGAATTACTGAATTGGAGTCTTCTTTAGAATTCTATAGCCCCCACCATTTTACACGTGCTATTTATCTTCAGATGGCACACATTTAAGACTAACGGAAAGAGAATATTTCTGAGAAATTTGGAGACTCTTATGAATTATGAGCTACTGGAAATAGTCTTTGCTTTTGTTGCTACTAATGAGATGGCAGAAAGAAGGCAATGAGTTTCTCCGTGTTCTCTAGAATAAAGAGTCCTTAGACTCCTTTGTCACACGGGTTCAGGACCTTGTACTCAGATCTGCAGGTTGAGAAGTTGAATCTTCTCATTTTATCCAGACTCGATCTAACACTAATCAAACTCGAGAGACTTATTTGTAAAACTGGAATTAGAATTATTTAATTTGCATTGAGAAATGTAATTGCCACAGCTACCAGTAATAATGAGCTCTGTAGCTGACTGTTATGAAATTGATGGTGAATATAATCGGACCAGAAAAGAACTGGATGACCTAAAAGTACAGTAAGTTTCTTTTTTCACTCTAGGAGTAAACATAGTGTAGTGTTTACACAGACCAACTCTAAAGCCAGTTCTGGCAGGGTTCAAAGACCACTCTACCATTGACCAGCCACCGAATTTGGTCAACAACCCTCTTATGCCTCAATGTCCTTATTTATAAATATAGATGATGATGATATTAAAGTTGTCATGAGGTTGTAATAATATAATTCATATATAAAGCACTTAGCACCTTCTTGGCACATAGTAAAGATAGAAAATGATAGCTGTTATCATTATCCACTTACGATAGACCACTTTAAATTTTACTACAAATTTTACTACCACTTTAAATTAGTACTACAATCTAATTGAGATAGATAATACTTACCCTTATCTTATAGACAAGGAAACCGAGGTCTTTACATAGTCTGTTGATTATTAAATTCTCTCTGACTCATGTCAGGGTACCTACTCTCACCTTTTGATTATGCTATATAAACTTTGGAATCCTCTTAAACTCTTTCTTCTCTGAATTCCTTTTCCTGTCGAATTAGTTCTCAAGCCTCCTTTTACAACATCTCATGTACCTGCCATTTCAACTTTTGTTTCAGCGCCCCCACATCGCCTCTTAGCCTCGCCTCCTTATCTTTAGTCTTTCACTCTCCAGTCTGTCCTCTACATTGCTGTTTAATTCATATTGCAAAAACATTGTTTTATCAGGCGTTTCCTATTGCTTATAGGATAAAGTTCATAAAAATGTGGATTTTCGCAGTCCTCTGTCATCTGGCCCCAAATCTCTTTCCAGCCCTGTCTCTCACTATTGAAACTCCCCTTTAGCTAAATCGGAAGATTTGCTGACCTTTCCCAATTCTGTTTTCTTAGATGTTCAGCCACCTAGAACACCTTACCGCCACCTTTCTACCTGTCCCAGTTATATCCCTTATCATCTTTGTAAAGATTTTACTAAACAGTCCATCTAAATGATGCCTACTTTTTAAAAAAATTTGATAGCAATTAATAATTGTATATTTAACACAGTTTCTTTTGATTATCTTGAACTGATTTAAACATTAAGATTATTTTACTTTTATGTGTTAATATATTGCTTCCCCGAACAGTGTAGGAATCAGTAAGTAGAGTGAGGCCACAAATGAGAATGAGGTGAAAGCGAGCTGGATCTAGTTTCTTTGGAAGACCCGCTCACTCTTGCCCCGGCCGGGAGCTTCTCAGGCCCAGAGATAAGTTTGCGCCAACTACTGGCGGAGTGAGAAATGAAACTGTAATGTGGCCCAGAGACATAGACGCCTTTTAATTTACGACGAGGAAAAAATCCCCGAGGAACCAGAATATTCAACATCCACTGTATCAGATCATCTCCGCTCCAAATTTGAACCCAAAATTGGAATAAATCAAATTAGATGAATTGGATGTCTTATATCTATGGACATCTGGCAATGACCCCATCTCTCCAAAGAGATGGCCTCAGCACAGACTTTGGATAACTCCATGTACCTGGACAGGCCTGAATGGACACTGAGTACCTTCACTCCAGCGACCTTGCTTTGTCTAGGCCTTTGGAGATGACCAGATCCGCCCCCCTTTACCCGTCCCCCGACCCCACACCGCTTCCATTCTTTCTTTTGGTATATTAATAAAGTCAGAACAATTACTTTCAGTTCCTGCCAGCCTAAAAGCAATTCTCTTTCTTTTCTTCAGTCTATCTCATTCTTTTTGTGTTTTTGTCTCAGTCTGTCTCACCATCTTCCTCTTTCTGCCTCTGCCTTTCACTACTTTCCCTTTTTTCTGTCTCTCTGGGTCTCTAGTCTGTTTCACTCATTTTCATAGGTCTGCTCACTCATTACATGTTAACATGACACTAGTGGCTAATGTATTTCTTTAATTTCCAAGTTTGGGGACTCACCTCATTATGGTGTCTAAGTACTATCAATAAATTGTAAGCTCCTTGAGGGAAGGGCTGACAGGTCAGTATGAGAGGCAAAATATATCTATCTTGTGCTTTACTCCACAATACTTAGCAAGTCATAGATGCCCAATAATTATGTATTGATTGAACCTCTAACAAATTGTTGCTGTTTTCCTTAAGGCCGATGTCATTGTCAACACTGTTCCCACGGATCTTCAGCTTGGAGGAGGATCACTATCTCGGGCTCTTTTGCAGAAAGCTGGTCCCATGCTCCAGAAAGAGTTAGATGCCACCAGAGAGGAAACAGAGGAGGAAGTGGGTAGCATATTCATGACAAGTGGCTGCAATCTGGACTGTAAAGCTGTGCTCCATGTTGTGGCTCCAGACTGGAATAATGGAGCTGGGTCTTCTTGGCAGGTAAAAGAAGTCCTTAGTTCTCCACTTCATTTGGTAGTTTTAGTAATCTTCTGGCATGGTATAGATCTGTGGTTCTCAACCAAAGTGAATTTATCCTGTAGAAGGCATGTGGCTTATTACAATTGCTTCTGGTAGCTAGGAGGTAGAGGCCAGGGATGTTGCTAAGTGTTCTTCAAGGCATATACAAGTCCCAACAACAAAGTTGAAAAACACTAGCTTGATTGAACCCTGCCCATTTATTGAAATCTTTATTACTTTGCATTAAGAGTCCCTTACAACCAGTTATTTCAGCATAATTGACCCTTAAATGTAATAACAATCATTGGGGTTCTCCAGGAGTGGTGTCTAAAGATTAGTGGAATAATCCTATAATATAACTAAGAGGTGTGGCCAGAGCCATGGTGAAGAATGAACAGGGTCAGTGCCCTTTTAATTCTCACCTCTACTCCCAACTTTATTTATTTATTTTTTAGAATATAAAAGTAATATATGTATATCACATAAAATACAGAAACTACAAAAGTAGAAATAAAAATTATAATCTAGCTACCTAGAGATAACTTTGGTTAACATTTTACTGTATTTCCTTCAAGTCAATTTTATGCATATTTATTTCTTAGTTGAGATTTCCTTCCAAACATTTTTCGACCTGGCTTTTTTTTTTTTTTTTTTTTTTTTTTTTTTTTTTTTTTTTTTTTTTTTTTTTTTTTTTTTTTTTTTTTTTTTTTTTTTTTTTTTTTTTTTTTTTTTTTACTTAATATAACATTTCCCATGTTGTTTAAAACTTTTCATGAATTTTGCTTTCAATGGAGATACCATTGTTTATGTAAGCATTCCCCTGCTGTTGAACCCTCCCCTTCCGCATGAATTTGAATCATGGAAAGTCTTTTGGAAAGTCCTCTCCCTCTTCTTGGTTTCCCTTTCTGACTTCCCAGGCCCTGACAAAGCCAAAGATAACAGAGAGGGCCTAGTCAGCGTCGCTGGAGCCACAGTTCTTTCTGTTTTCTACCAACTTGAGCCCTAACTTATGTAAATGTATTTTGTACATTTCAGATCATGGCAAATATAATCAAAAAATGTTTGACAACTGCAGAACAACTATCTTTCTCATCAATCACATTTCCCATGATTGGAACAGGAAATTTGGGATTCCCCAAAGCTGTTTTTGCTAAACTAATCCTTTTAGAAGTGTTCAAATTCAGTAACAGTACATGGATGAAAATCTTACAAGAAGTTCACTTTCTGGTACATTTAGATGATGATGAAGGCTGTCAGGTATGATTACATATCTCTTCTGGTCATTCTGGCAAGTGAACTTAAGTGCAATCAGATGTCTTTATAGATCTAAAAATAAGAGCATTTTTTACTTTCTTTCCCATAAGTGTTGGTTGCTGATGGGGGTTGTCATATGGCTTAACTATGAGGCAACACTGATAACACATACAAGCCTTGTTAGACAGTTTATCAAAAGACAATATAATCTGTAATAAATAAATTTTTAGAAAGAAATAGAAAGTTGTGGGCATAAAAGTCCAGACATTTTAACAATGTCTAATTGAAAGCTAAGTCATGGCTTTATCTATAGAGAAAAAGCTAGATAAGAGAAATCTCAAGAATTTACTTATTTGGATGGAATAGAGCCAGTCTTTACAAGTCTATGAGGGTTCAGAGCTAGAAATACCAGTACTGTATTTAGTAGTGGAGAAGCAGTCAAAGCACACTTACTACTAGGACTGCCCTTGTCAGGTGCCATTCCTTGAGAAAGTGTCCCTTAGCTGGTTGGCCCATTCTGGTATCAAAATTTATTTTTCACCCTTGAAAAAATTCTATTGATTTTGTATAAATTGTGCATACTCATAACAAAAATACAAACAGTAGAAAAGAGTACAAAGAAGAAAGGTACAGCTAGGTTTGAATCTTCTTGATTTTGCCATTTAAAGGTTGAGTGAAGTAACCTCTTCGAATGTCAGCTTTATTATGTGTAAAATGAGCATGGCGATACTACCTCTCAGAATTGTTGTGAGAATTAAGAGAGGATGTATTTGAAGTTTCTAGCACATAGCAAGCTTCAAAACTGGTTGCAGAAGTAGTTAATATTACCCGGCTTTAAGGGCAATTGCCACAACTTCCCAACATTAGCACTTAAAAAGATACCAAATACAATTTTGTTTACTGAGTTCCTAGTTATTCTCAGGAAGATGGGAATAGAAGTGTAGTCTCAGCATGATATAATGTAAATCAGCACTGGTGTTTATTGAGAAAATGCCTAGGTTGAATCACAGCCTTTTGACTAAAAACTCTCTGAAGTAAGAAAAAATCTGTTGAGAACTATTGTTCTGAATTGATGTCTGATGCTCAGTGATATTTCTACAGACCATTGTTATGGTCAGTAACTATGTTTCTTTCTATTCCCAGGCATTTTTAGATCTATTCACTAGACGGTTGAGCAGAAATCCCAAGAAAGACAGGATTCTCAGGGTTGGAGATACCCAAGGTCTGGTAAAGTTGTTCTGCTGAGGAAATATATCCCTTTGTTTAGTAGCCCTTCAGTGTTCATCGAAGTCCAGTAGAAAGAGGCAAATTCCCATGAAGAACATATCAGTGATAGAGGAAATGTTAGAGCATGTTCTATTATCTGGGCACACAAAGAATAAATTTTATTGTTGAGGACCAAATCATCGGTAATGAGGCCAGAATTTCTAAGATATGATCATAAAAGATAACTAAAATGTGCATGGCACACTAAACTTTACTGATTGCTTTTGTATGTATTATATTATTTAAACCTAACCATGGGCAGGTGATTCTGTTGCCACTGTATAATTGTGGAAAGGGAGATCTGAAGAATTTAAAGGATGTGTAGAAATGGCACATCTAAGTTGTAAAGCTTCAGAGTGTAGAGTGGACAATAATATGCCAACATGTTAAAGGGATTTTCCTCAGAGTGGCCTTGATATTGCTGTTCCAGTGGGCTGTGAAGCTGCATGAAGAGCTCATGTTTGGTTAGCGAGCTGTTGTTTAGCATTGGACAAATAACCTAGACAATCCGAGACTTTTGTAAAATTGTAATAAAGGGATCTCCCAGAAGATGAAGATCTCCCTTTCAGTTATGAGTAAGCGGTGGAGACCTTATGTATAGAAGAGGGACTGTGGTTAATAATCATTTATTGTACGCTGGAAATTTGCAAGTGTTCTCACCACACACACACAGAGAAGGTAACTCTGTGAGGTGATGGGTATGTTAATTAGCTCGATTATGGCAATCATTTCACAATGTATACATATATGAAAACTTGACATCGCACATGTTAAATATATACAACTTTTATTTGTCAATCATACTTTAATAAGGCTGAAAACAAAATCTCCCAGAGATGTCAGCATAAAAGGAGAGTGCACTTTGCACTGTCCCCTTCTTTTTCATGGCACCACAGCAACTTTTGCAGACAGATAGTTCAATCTGATATTTCTGCTTCATCCTATTTAACTGAGAAAATGTAGATACTCCTACTGCCACAAAACATTGTTTTCCAATTTTCTTTAAAAAACAAAATAAAACACCCAGCAGTTTAACAGGCTAGGAGACATGGTAATGTTTGGAATTGAGTGTAGGAAGAAAGAAAGAGTAGAACTGGGAAGAGAATGGGACCCTGTCATGTCTGTTCTTCTTTCAGGAGCTAGCTAGTCTTTCATTCATCTTGTTTCTTTTCAGGTGTCTTCAAGACTCTCACTAACCATAAGTTCACAACGTATGAAATGAGAATTGGGGCGATTACTTTCCAGGTTGCTATTGGAGATATCACCAACGAAAGCGCAGATGTTATTGTAAATTCAACAACAAGGATGTTTAATCTAAAATCAGGTACTTTATTTAAGCAATATACTTGATTGTAACTATTAACATGACTAATGTCTGGGAGGGAAGTTGTGGCTAACGTCGCCCTGAGTAGAAGGAGAGGTTTGTAGAAAATAATGCAGGCCCTGGGATCAGAAAGACCTGGGTCGAATCCCAGCTATGCCACTTATCGTTGGGTCGAATCCCAGCTATGCCACTTATCACTTAACATCTCTGAACTTCAGTTTCTCTGCTTGCCAAATACCTATTTACCAAAGGAGAGTTAGATGGGGATAAAAGTGATATTAAGTTGGGGTGTATCTGATGCATTGTACTTAGTCAGTGTTGGCTATGAGCTCCTTTTTAGCTCTGAACTATCAAAATTCCACACTTACAATTTAATCAGCTTTAAGTTCCTCTATGTTTATTTCCCTTTTTATGTAACTCAGTTAGTACTCACATCTTACCTCCTGTAATTTTTCTCTTCTTTATACTGTACTGACCCAAAACAAAATTCAACCTCTCTTTCTTGATTTTCCCTGAAATGTTTGACCACCCCCATTGATATAACACTTTTGAGCATGCCCTCCCCACATATGTCTATTCATTTATAAAACATTATGTATTATGCATTCATTTATGTATTATAAAACATTACTTTTTAAATTAAAAGTGTAAGATAAAACATAAATAGAAATAGAAATTTAAATATTTTCTAAATTGCAAAATATTATGGAACTTACTATGCAGACGCGAATCTGTAGAATACCCAATTTATTAGTCATTCAAAATGCAGACATAAAGAACATTTAATTATTTATCTGAAACGTGGTAAATAGAACATCTTGCATTTATCCCTGCCCTCTTTGAAACTCCAAAGCAACACTGAAGGAATTAAAAGCGTATAAACCCACAGAGAAAAAAAGAGTTGGAGGGAAAACAACAATGTACAAGAGATAGCAACATATTTTCAGAAGATGGGGAGCAGTTAGCCAGTAGAGATAACCAACATAGAGTGGAGAAAACTTTGTACCTGTAGGAGAGAATGGCAGCCCTTAGAAAAGGAAGGCAGGGGTCGAGTAAAGAGATGAAAACAGAATTGGATGAGATTCTGTATCAGTAGCACTTAGACCTCTTGATTCTATCCCCCATCCTGTGCACCAGTAACTTTCTTTGCGCTTTCCTGGCCAGAGGTGGGAGGTTTATTCTCTAGAGAAACTGAACCAGAGAGATCCTGGACTTAACATACCAGGCACAGATGAGATGACATGGGGAGCTAGACTGAAAATAGTGTTTCAGTGAAGTCTCTATACTTAACAGTGAGTGCCCAGCCTCTTCCTGTGGGGCTCCCAGAACAGCAGATGGGCTTATGCTCTCCAGACATGAGATTGGAGGATCGTCTGGGGAACTGAAAGAACTGACTGAGAAACCCACTCTTAAATATGACTGGACTAACAAAGATCACCTGATATTTGAGGAAAACCTCCACCATTGCAAAGTCAGAGACCAAGACAAACGAACTGAAAAAATAGGAGTTTTTGAAAAAGAGATAATTTATAACACACACATAATCAAAGAGATATAGGTAGAGAGATGACGCTAGATGCTAGATAGATAGATAGATGATAGATAGATAGATAGATAGATAGATAGATAGATAGATAGATAGATATAGATATAGATATAGATATAGATAGGTGGAGCTAGATCAGTCTTAATGATCATAAAATAATGAACATTTATCCAGTATTTCCTGTGTGCCAGATTCTGTGTGCTAAGCATTTTTCATCCATTATCTCTTTTAATGTTCATACAACCCTGTGAGGGAAGTACCATGCCAGCCTCTGTGTTACAGATAAGGAACAGTCTCATACTAGATAATAAGTGATGGAGTCAATTCTGACCCGGTTTGTCAAAATGCAAAGTTCATGTTTTCAACCACTCAAGCCAGCTGTCATTAAACGTGACCAAAGTAATAAAGCTACAGCCTTGAAATGAAAATTCATTCGACTGAAGCCAGCCAACTATTTGTCTAAGTGTGAAAAAACAAACCAAACAAAATTAGATAACAAAATCAAAGAACTTAAGTAAAATGTTCAGTTTTATTAGTTTTGAGATCCATGCATCTCATTAGTATCATAAATTCTATTTTTATATTTCCATTCAATATAATGTAAACTAATAAGCATAGAATGCAAAAAAAAAATCAAATAACAGCAAAAATATCCCTGTACAAATAGAGATAGTAAAGCTGCAGACAGTGGAGACTTTCAGCTCATGGGCATTGCCATCATACTGTGGATCAGATTGTTTATTCATCAGCAATTGGATGAAGGTCGCTATAGAAAAGGCAGTTTTTGAGAGGAGGTTAGCATCAGTGGATTATGCACAAAAAAGGTGAACTGAACAGAAGTCTAATGTACAGAAGCTATAACCACTGAATTGAATTTTAATTGATGCTTTTTACCATTAACATGTCTTGTTTAGGGGTGTCAAAAGCAATTTTAGAAGGCGCTGGACAAGCTGTGGAAGATGAATGTGCTGTACTAGGTATGATCAATAGGCCTACAACCTGTTGAAAATTAGAGGGCTGAGAACACTGTGAGAGAATCCATGGGTGGAGTAAATGGTGAGCACTTTGGAAGAAGGTTGGTTCGCTGGGAGAGCAGACCTAGATGGTATGACTTGGTAGCTGTGGGGGAGAGGTCCTTTATCTCACCATCCCATCTGTTTCTTCCTTCCTGAGTATTAAAAAGAACCCAAGCCTGGGTCCTAATAATCCAGGCTCCACCACATACTGAGGGATCCTGGGCACTTTGTCTAACCTCTCAGAGCTTTGTTTCTCTCATGTGTAAGATGGTTCTACTAATGAGGAATATGTTAATGGCTGCCACGCAGGTGGTTGTGAGATCAGAAAGAACAGGGAATGTAAAAAAAAGATTTGTAAACTGTTAAGTGCTCTACAAATTATTTTTTACTTTTCTCAATCTTGTTCTACATACAGCACGTCATGTAGCAGATTTCTAATCCTTCTATGTATGAATGCGGGAGCCTGGGTAGGTCTGAGGTGTTTTCTAACATCAACCAATTCTCCAATTCTGACACTATCTACCTGGCATTAGCACCAGATTCCATAAATTAAAGGGCTTCGTCCACAAGAATGCCCCTACTTCAAATAACCATTTTAATTCTCGGGGGCCACCTGTACTTCTGACTGACTGGCTATAAATTCAGAGGGTCCCACAAACCTCTTCTTGAGTTCAACAATTTATTAGAACAATTCATAGAACTCAGTTAACACTTTCCTTACAGTTACCAGTATATTATAAAGGATACAACTCAGGAACAGCCAAATGAAAGAAACGTGTTAAATGACAAAACTAAAATAATTTAGTAATGAGTTTAACATCCTTTATTCAGGAGAAAATAACCCATGGACAGGGAAGCACAGTGCCTCACAAGCAGTGGAA